GTTTTATCTATTATACATCTCGAAGATATTTCTATTCAACATCGAAACGAATATACTAATCTTTTGCTATTATTTGATGAACAGCATTATCTCCGTTCTACATCTTCGTGTACTATGATTTGTGAAGACACTTGACTCATTTTTTCATCATTTCGAATACATTGATTTGAATGAAAATTGATTAGAATGAAATTAGATATTTATAACTCGAATATTTGATAAAATTGAAGAGGCAATGAATATTGGTAGTTATGAAGAAACAAGATGGTGCCATTTTCTATTATATGAAACAATACTGTGAAATTAATATGTTATCGTTTTCGTATTGCACAATACAGTAAAACGTATGACACTTTTTCCGGCTGTAGACTGCTTGCAAATATACTTAGATAAGACTCGGAACAAAAATAGAATTCTTATTTTCTTCCTTTGTTCTTATGGATTCCGAAATGTCCAAACAATTAAGAATATACAAGATGTTTTCATCAACTAGACTAAAAATACTCAATGGAAAACAAAAAAAAACTTTGAGCAATTTCATCGAAAGCACCGTTAATATATGCAAAGCTCTCTTAGCATCGTTTCTTAGGATTTCAGCAAATAGCCCTGGAGATTAGACGACCTAAATTATGTGAAACGTTTGAATCCAGTTCATTTTCGAAACATGACATATTATGACACGAAAACGACTTTATGAAAAGTGATGAGTTATTTGTTAGTTGACTTTTTTGAGCTCTAGATTTATATATGATATTTTTATGACTTATTTTCTAATCTTTTGGATTAATATTGAAGTCGAGCAATCAATTCAATAAAATGCAAGATCGTTCGACTCCCATAACACAACGCAACAACAAATTTCAGTTTACAGTATCCAGAAACACCAAAAGATCAGATAAAAATATAAGACATTTCTCTTCTATCTCAATGGCTCATAGATTGGATTTTAAAAACTTATTTAATTATCGATCAGTATTCATCGTAAAATACTCATCTTTTTTCAACAGACAAAACAACAATAACATTGTTTGAATAGATTAAAACGTATAATGTGTCATCTGCTGTTTGCCAAACTACAAAGATAAAAACTCTACCAACCCAAGAGATTCCCCATTACAAACTTTTCAATTAAGTTTTGAAGAAAAAAAAGCTATACAGTAAGTATAAAATCGTAAATAATAATATCTTTATCTTTTTAATATATTAGAAAAGAAACGTTATGAAACTCAATCAATTGGTATACGACAGTAGACAATTCAAACAGTACAAAGATATCCAGTCCGGATGTCTAATATATGATAAAGTAAAGTGAAAATTTCGAAACATCTCTTTGCACGTAGTATCTTGTTTAGATACAAAGCCAGATCAAACATCCGAAAACGAACACACTTAATTTTATTCTTCTGTCATTATTAACAACAATCTTTGTAACAGTATGATGAAACAAGCGATCGCTCCGATGAATTTCACAATGATCAATACACAAAGCATATTTGGAGAAATTTTAAAAATCACCAACTGCTGATGTTTTTATAAATTGTTTAATCAAACGTTCAAACAAGTCATATTTCATATGATATTAAAATACATACGGATCAAACTTCTTTGTTTTTGAGTAAATCAATGCTTTCATTGTTGTTTGAAATATACTCTGATAAGAAATTTAAATAAAGAAATTTAAAAATTCAATCAGACCTTTTCTAATAACGCATCTATTTGAAGATTGAATTGAAAGATTATGATTTTTTAAATATGGATTAAAGCATTATCAGTTCACTTTAAAAACTGCCGTGTCTCTTACAAGACGATGTATACGTCATATGTCTAAAGTCTAGTTTAGACACGAGCTAGAAATGAGATGGATCTTATTTTTAATAAGCTCGAATCTAATAGACACAGACTTTACTTAAGCATTATTTTAGTTGAGTACTCAACGATTCTTTTTTTTAGACAGATCGACGACTCGTTAATAATCTTTCAAGTAATGTCAGCAAAATAATTATTAATAATAATGATCACTGTCAGAATGGCGTAAGAATGTGACTTCTGACACATATTACTGGTTTGTTACGTTTACAATCTGTAAGAATGTTTTATTTAATTTATCCATTTACTTTCTTTTCGATATTTCATTTTCCTACTATTCTATGTTTTTTACTATACATTTATTTATTCCGCTTTCTCTAGAAAATCCTTTTTATATGCTAATAATTAAAAAATCGAATTAATTTCGATTATTGTATTCCATTTGAACGAATAAGTTTTATCATCAAACCGGGACGTTAGTTTTTCTTTTTATTAAAATGATTCCTTTTTTCAATCTATTATTTCCTTTAGTTATTTATTTTATTGAAGATGATTATTACTTTGTTTATTCTCTGTCGCAGATAATTATTTCAACTCTTTTTGTCTTAAATAGTCTTTTTTCGTTTGCTGCTAATTAGGTGCACAAATTTCGCTCATCGCGCTCGACTCTAAAGAATAAGTCTATTCTGATGTTATAATTCTATTTACTTTGCTTTTTAACTTCAGATCGTTCTCTAGTTGCATGTTGCGGGAGAATCGATGTGCTTGATTTTAATATCACATATAAAATAATGAGTAAGTTTAACTTGTTTTCAAAGAGAAAGTGTTTACTTGGATATATTAGAGTAAGAAGATAACAGAAAAAAGTAAATAGTATAGTAGCACATTACAAAACAGTAAACGAATGTTAGTATGGTATTTCTGTTCATCCACGCTCATCTCCCAAGTGGCTCAAATATATACCCACATCGAAACCAAAATCTTAATATTTAATTCCAAAATACTTCAAAAGTGAACAAGAATAAATAGATGCTTGAGCTATTTAAAATAAAACAATGTTTAAAGTCAAATTGTAGAAAATGTGTAATCGAACTGTGTGTCGAAAAGTTCTATTTAGTTTTTTTCTGAAAAAAGATCTATTCTTTCTACTTAGTGTTGAGGGAGAAACTTCAATATATATGAAGATGTCATGTGAATTTTTTATTGTTAAGATTGCTTTTTTTTAAGGTTCCATTCAGATTTCTCTTAGCTTAAAACGTAAGCTTACATTACTGAGTTTTTCAAAAAGAATCAAGTTCAAAGAGCAACAACTTTTAACAAGAAGAATATGCAGCAAACCACAAATCTTATTTTTTAACAAAATTCATCATTGTTCTTCGTTCAATCAAAAAATCCTCACTTGGAATAGTTTCAACTCAATCATTATCGTCATTATCACAATTAGATTTGTTTAAAAAACACTGTTGTAACTAGTTAAATATTTTTTCATCTACAAACAATGTAAAACAATGTCAGAAGCAAGGCTTAATAAATTAGCTACGATGTATGTTTATCGAGATTTTGATTTAAAAGTTAATTCTATTGATAATGAAATTTCTAAATCTAAGCAAGTTTTTTACATTTTAATTCTCATTGTTTTTTTTCTAAAAGCTGTTTATCTATGAATTTCTACATTTATTGTACAAGAAAACGATACCTAGAAACGTAAATATGAGAGCAGATTAACTGATTTGTTTCGAAAAGAAATTCATATTACCTTGGAAGATATCATTTATAAATCGTCACTATAAGATAAGGAAGAATTGCAAATCCTTTTGTTTCTTTAATGTCAACAATTAATTCATGTTGTTACAGAGGATGATGTTTGATCAATATGCAACGATATGTAGAATGTTAATCATGTAAAACTTAGTAAATCATGAATATCTAGAGTGATGTTTATTCAACTTAGTAGATTTTCTTGTTTTGAACATTCTAGAGAAGATTTATTTTGATGTTTTCGTTTACAATAAATCATTAAAAACATTGATAGACATGATCAATAGTTCATATTTATTCATGGTGTGAATATTTGAAAAGAATTACATGATCCATAGGAGATATGAACACAATAAATGATTGAAAATTTTACTTTAAATCGAAAAGAAAACTCATCGATAACATTTACGCAGATGAAATTAGATTTGAATTTGAATTTATTTGTATCGGATTCGTCTAGGATTTTGTTTCAAGTCTTATACTCATATTGCAATGACAAACTGATGAGCTTTATCCAATGGTGTGATTGAATCTTCTATAACACAAACTGTACTTCTCAAAATTGCAAAATATTCCGATCTTATCATAGGACTCTGTTACATGTACTACCTAGTCTGATGCTTGGAACATAAGTGTGAGACGTCGAACACATTCAACAGGAAATTGATCCCTATGAAAAGTGACACCTTTCGGTAGAAAATCAAACTTTGTACCTAATACAGGCAGCTGGAAAGTCAACACAAGTCGTAGAATGAATGGAGACAAGAAAAGTCGAATCTAATACTAACTTTTCCTACGTAGAATTCTTCTAACTGAACCTATTCGGTATTAAACTAATAAACTTGAGAGAAGTAAATGCTGTTTATTTGAAAAGAAAACTCTTTTTTAGATGTCTACGAAATTAAACTTTAAAAATTTCGTCTGATCAAATGGTCACAACACAATTTAGTATCAAAATTGATCAGATTTATTTCACTTCACTTCTAACTTTTTCTCAAACATGATTGAGATAATAGGTCACAACTACCCATTTCTGTATCTTCAAATCGTATATCCCAATTTCACGTCTCTTTTACATATTATATACAATGGAAATGTGCGACCTCTTCCTTTTTCTTTTAAATCTTCATCTAATTTTCAAATACGTGTATATATCAAAGAAATAATTGCAATAAAAGAATCAAAATTAATAATAAATAGATATTTCAAATTATTACTCTTGTCAACCTCGTGTTTTGTTTTGTTTGCGGTCTTACTCAATAATTGAATGGCTATTGCCGCACATTTTTTTGCTATTGTGTTAATCATCTCATTGTTCATTCGTAAATGAAACAATGTCAAAAAAAAAACATCAATAATTCTCTCGAATTATCATTTTTCTTAAACAATTGGATTCTTATTCGAAAAATTAATATTTATTCTATATTTTTTTCTAGATGGCAACTCCATCGAAACAACGTCGTACACCCTCTAAGCAAACACCAGGTTCAACGCAACGAACACGTAATAAACTTAGCATGCTTTAATTAATCTATTAAATACTTTTATTTAGCTGCTAAACATCGACACCCATTAACAGCCTTACAAGAAGATGAACCAATTACTAGTCCAACACCAAGTTCTATTCTACAAATGTCTTTGACACCTGGTCGAACTCCAAATAAAAATCGAGGTTTTTTTTTATTAGATTTCGTTTTTTATTCTAGAAAAGAAAATTCTTTTTTTAGGCATGGCATTTTCACCAATGACATATACAACATCTCCTGCGCAAAGTAATATAGGTGCTAGTGGTCGTACACCAATGTCAACACCCTCACGAACTAGATCTGATCTTGGTAGTGCACGAAAATTACGTTTAGTTAATGAACAAGATGAATTAGTGAGTTAATAAAATATCGAATATTCAGAAAAAACCAGAACGATTTTTAGGAAGGTGATATTGATGTTAATGCAGCTGATAATCAAGTCGTTATTTGGGGTACAGATGTTCATGTAAATGAATGTAAACGTCGGTTTATAACATTTTTAAAAAAGTTTCATTTAAACATTGAAGAAGCTAATCTTGAAGGTGTTGATCCAACAAAACCATTCTATATGCAAAAATTAGAAGAAATTCATTTAATTGAACGTCCATTTCTTAATGTTGATTGTGCACATATTAAACAAATTGATAAAACAATGTTAAATCAATTAATTGCATATCCACAAGAAGTTATACCTATATTTGATATTGCTGTAAATGAATTATTTTTTACAATTTATGAAGATGATACACTTCCACATCAAATTCAAGTACGACCATATAATGTTGATATGTTTAAAAACATGCGTTGTCTTGATCCTGAAGGTTTGGAATTAATGGAAAATGATTATCTTTTTTTTTTAGTTTTGAAATCTTATATTTAGATATTGATAAATTAGTTAGTCTGATGGGTATGGTTATTCGTTCATCATTAATAATGCCTGAAATGCGTTCAGCTTATTTTCAATGTAATATATGTGGTTTTCATGTACAAGCTGAAATTGACCGTGGAAGAATTTCTGAACCAACTCTATGTACATCATGTAATACAGCACATTCATTTGAACTTATTCATAATCGATCATTATTTGCTGATAAACAATTTATTAAATTACAGGAAACACCAGGTGAATTTTTGCTTGTTTTTGTCTGTGTGAAATTTATGTTCGATTTTGCTTTAGACGAAATGCCTGCTGGACAAACACCAGTTACTGTAACGATTGTAGCACATAATGATTTAGTTGATGCAGTACAACCCGGTGATCGGTATGTTGATTAAAAAGAAATTTATTCTATCATAAAATAAGAAAATGATTGAAAATGTCAAAATCAAGAAAGAAGTGTGTGAACTATATCGTTTAAAACTTTTGCTGTTGAATTTTGAAGTACTGCATAAACAGTACTGGTGCAAAGTCAAAGAACAAAGAAATTTTCTATTGAAGTTATCGGAATTTCATAGATGGATTAATGAGAGAAAAATTTCTCAAATGTCAAGCCTCGGTAGTTTTCAAGTTCTAGAAGACTGAATAAAATAAAAGGTCACTGCATTTCCTGCGACCTTCCCTTGAAAAGTGATAAACCTAATTTTATTCAGAATTTTGTATTCTTTAAAATAATACTTCTAAAAATTAATTTTTACATAGTCCATCTATGAAATTTCGGTGTAGAATATATTTAATAGAAAATTTCATTCGTTATTCAAACTATTATCTTGATGTCATTTACTGTATTGACATCAACATCATTTTTTGTTGTCGACTTCTCTGTAATTGTTTGCATTCCTAATATGATGTATATATTCCTTTGATGTAGAAATCTGTGAGAAAGTATATCTTTTTCTCTGACTCTGTCATATGATAGTCATCATGCTCAACACATCATCGCTAGCGAAGATTCACTTTTCAAATGCATCGCTATTGGCAAACAATAAGTAAATATGGAAGCAAGAAAAATATAAGAAATATGTCACGGTGATATCAGAAAAATAGGTAACAGAAGACAAATGTCACGTATGCATAGAATGATTCATGACTTCAATTTGATAATAGTTGTCGTCAGTCAGAAAATTGAAAAAAAAAAAACAATTTCAGATCGAATGACTATTATTAACCTCTTCATAAAATATACAAACTCTAAGAGAATGATACCTATTTTGATGCAATATAAAAAAAAAGGAAATTCAATAATTATTCATTACTTCATGCATATAAAATAAATCCTTCTATTCTATTTTAGTGTTCAAGTCACTGGTATATTTCGTGCAGTACCAGTTCGTATGAATCCAAAAACACGAAATGTTCGATCAGTTTATCGCACATTCATTGATGTTATACATTTTCGTCGTCAAAAAACATTTACAGCCGTAGGTGGACTTGAAGAACAAACAACAAATGATGATGAAGAATCAAGGTAGAAAAAATCAAACATATGCTTTTTATTTTCATTGTAGAATTCGTTTTTGTTTCTGATTTAGTTCATCGAAATTTTCTAAAGAACGTTTAGCACAATTTCGTAATTTATCTGAACGTTCCGATATTTATGTATTATTATCAAATGCAATTGGTATACTTTTGTCTTCTTTTTATATGTTTCATTTTTTATTTTCTTTAGCTCCAAGTATTTTTGGACATGAAGATATAAAGAAAGGTATTTTATTACAATTATTTGGTGGAACAAAAAAATCTTTTACTGATGCCGGACGAAAAAGTTGTCGGTCTCAAATTAATATTTTACTCTGTGGAGATCCTGGTACAGCTAAATCACAATTACAACAATATGTATTTCGATTGGTACCACGTGCACAATATACAAATGGTAAAGGTACAAGTGCTGTTGGTCTAACAGCTTATGTAACAAAAGATCCTGAAACTGGTCAACTTGTTCTTCAAACGTAAGAATAAATATTGATTCATTTTTTTTCTCAAGATTTTATGTGTTTTATATATTTTAGAGGTGCTTTAGTTCTTGCTGATAATGGTATTTGTTGTATTGATGAATTTGATAAAATGAGCGAAAGTGCTCGATCAATTCTTCATGAAGTTATGGTATGTTGAATATTGTGTGTTGTTGTTTTTCTTAAACACTGAGTTTTCTTATTTAGGAACAACAAACATTATCAATAGCTAAAGCTGGTATCATATGTACATTAAATGCTCGTACATCTATATTAGCCGCTGCTAATCCAATAGAATCTCAATGGAATAAATCAAAAACAATTATTGAAAATATACAATTACCACCAACATTATTATCACGTTTTGATTTAATTTTTCTGTTACTTGATCCACAAGATGAAGCTTATGATAAGCGATTAGCACAACATTTAGCATCATGGTATCAATATGGAAAAGAAGTTGAAACTGTTCATGAAGCTATGGTAAATTTACATTTCGTTTTGTTAAAAAGAAACATTATTTGTTTTATTAAAGGATACAGATCTACTTCGAGATTATATTGCTTATGCACGTACATTTGTTAGTCCACAATTGACTGAAGTTGCCGGTAAACTTCTTGTTAGTTCGTAAGTAATCAAAACAAAATAAAGGGATAAACCGAAAATTTCTAGACAATATATGTCACTATTTTGTGCTGTGGAGACTGAAAAAAAAGCTCTTTAGGAGAAAAAACTCAAATGAAACTTCGAGATATGACACAAATCCTACCTAGTTCTAGCTCAATAGTCAGAAGTTACAAGATAAATTGTAAGCATATATTCTGAAAGAAAGCACAATTCTGATTCCAGTACATTACTCCTCAGTCTTAACTGTACTTGGAACCGGTAGAGTTGTTTTGACTTAACCGATCCGTTTAATATATCAATCAACAAACTGGTTCTTTCGTGAAGAAGACTACAATTTTACGAAGATATACAACTTATATTTATTCGTTTTTTCTTTTGGACAGATATGTTGAAATGCGTAAAGTCGGTAGTGGTAAAGGACAAATATCAGCATATCCTCGACAACTGGAATCATTGATTCGTTTGGCTGAAGCACATGCAAAAGTTCGACTATCCGATAAAGTCGAAGAATTCGATGTGGAAGAAGCTAAACGGTAAATTAGATAAAGTAATTTTGGTTCACTTAAAAAATTCTTCACTCTTTTTCAGACTTTATCGTGAAGCATTAAAACAAGCAGTAGGTTTCTAGAAATGCTTTAAACATTTATATGAATAGTATTTTATAGGCAGTAGATCCAAAAACAGGTCGTGTTGATGTTGCAATTTTAACAACGGGTATCAGTGCCGGTGAACGTCGTCTTCGTGCTGATCTTGCTCAAACACTTAAACGTTATCTTAAAGAACATAAATCAACATTAAGTACAGGTGCAATTAAAAAAGATACGTTATTCAATGAAATTCGTGAACGAAATGATGAACGTATAACACGTGATATGTTTGATGATGCTATTCGAGCATTGGAAGAAGAAAATTTTCTTGTTGCAACCAATCATACAATACGAATTGTTACATTAGGAGAATCGAATTTCGATTAAAAATGTTAAATTTATTTTCTTTTTTGATTATGTATATAGATAAAACATAGATATATTTTTGTTTTCCGTTATTGTTTGTATATTGATTAGATATAATGAATAAATAACCTTAGTTTTCTATGAAAACAATTTTGATGAAAAATATGGAGATTTCATTGACATCTAATTGAGTTTTGCATAGAGAGAAAAAATCAACAGAAATATGGATTATGAGATGAGTGTGTATAAATTTAGTCTTAGTGCAATTTTTTGCAATAGGAATTCTAATAATTCAATAAAATAATGATCGACGTCAGACAGTTTACTTGGTTATATTTTTATGATGTTTCACAGTTAATGTTTGTATAAGACAAGAGCGTGTATTTCTCAAGAGAGATCATACTTGAAAATTAGTTATATGATGAGAACACAAAAGAGTATTACGTTGAATATTTCTAATGGATCTTATGTAATTTTTAGGTTCTAGAGAAAAAAGGTCTTTCAAAAAAACTTTCGTTTATGCTTGTGCATTGAGTTCATATAAAATAATATATTTGATAAAAATCATTAATGAAGAACTTTCCATTTGCACTCCAAGTGCAGTTCGATTTCGTTTCGCATAGGTACATGGTTATTGGACAAGAAAGATTGCCCTATATAATGTACTTAACTTTATAATTTTTCACATCTATCAAAATGACGATTTCGTTGTCATGTCGGAATCTATTGTAAACGACGGAAAACAATTAATGTGAATGCTTGACAGCCAACTGTTTCTGAATATATCTTCTTTCTTCTTTTTTAGTAATTCATCATGAATATTCTCGTGCATTCTCAATGGTTTTCTTCATGTATGTAATATGACGGAAATTGACATAAACAGTAGAATGTCATATTGAAATACTTAAGACTCAGAGAAAAATTATATTTTCTAGAATATGATTGCTTGTGAGCATTCTAGTGAATAACGACACAATTGAATTTTTTTCTATTATAAACATAAAGCATCAATATATTTCACACTCAAGTTTGAAATTATGTAATATCCTTGTTTTACTATTGGCAATGAATACTTTAATGATTATTTAATTCATTAAATTACGTCATCAAATTTTATTTCGTAATTCCTAAAAAACATTTCATAAAAAATTATTGTTTGAATCATTTTCCGAATGCTTCATTTTTCCACGCATATAATGAAAATGTATATATTAAAAAACATTTAGCACATTATTAATTCAAAGAAAACTAATCTTGTAAAAATTTTGTCTCTTCTTATATTTCGAAACGTAGTTGTTTAGTTTGCCTAATTAAGACAAAATAACCGAGTCAGCTGTTACATTTTCAAATCAATAGTACAGACGACATCATGAAGCATATGTCTATCTCTTTTTATTTATTAGATAGAAGGTCGCTGACGTTCTTTGTCTAATGAGATGTGTTATAAAGAATAAGAGAAAGGCCAGCGAGAACGACTGAAAAGAATAGAAAAGAAAAGAAAAAAAACGCGAGAATGATCGTCTCGTCACTCCGTCAGCTACTAGAAGCTCTAATCATCACTGGCATGTACAAAATAGAGGAGAGAAAAAATATATATTTTTTCTTTTTTTGCTTTGCCCCGTCCGCATCGTCGACGTATGTAAAAGCGCTTGCACATTCCTACTCTCTCTATCACAAACGCAAATAACTATTTTACGACAACACACGCATTCATGCAGCAGCTGCAGATGTGAAGGCGCAGTGCGCAGCAGCAAAGAGTAGAGTATCGCTCGACACCCTATACATATATATATATATATATCTATATATATATTTCGTCTCCTACATACATACAAAGAGAAAAACAGCAACGATCCCAGCATCAGCAGCATTTGGCATGGACAAAATGATAACATCTTCTGAAAGGTTTTTAAAAACGACAAATTGTGTGTGTGTGTCTATTGAAATTTTGCTGGCTAAACACACACATATCCATATATATATATATATATACAATGCGCGAAATGAGAATTTTATTTAAGAAAAAAGAAAACACCATATTATTAGTAGAAAATTTCTTTCGAACAGTTGGATACATGCGTTAATATAAGTAATGGTTATTTTTTAGCAAATAGTTGTTTTGCGTGCTCTTTTTAAATCAATAGAAAGAGTTAAGCAAAAAAGAAAAAAGAAAAGGAAAATAATATACGTCGTCAAAAAAGAAAACGAATATTCGTGTGAGTATAATGGAATCATAATTGATTAAAAAAAAATTAATAATAATAAGAAATGATCTCTTTTCTTAATCTATTGATGTCCTTGAACTTTTCCCGATTTTCTTTTTTCTCTTATATTTCGAATTGTTATTTCATCAAACGGTTACATCTCTCTTATTTCTTTTCTTTTCTTATTCTCCCTTTCCCCATTCCCTTTAGCAAAGGGTACTTGCCTGTCTCATGAATCAACAATAATGGTTGTCTTCATGCGCATTTTTTTTGCTTTCCTGTTCTTGTTACCCCATGAATAGTTTAACCCCATTTAGATTTTCTTTTTTTTTCTTCTTTCGTCAAACAGAGAAAAAAAGAAGAGATTTTTGCCCCGTTAAAACAACGACGGGGAAAGAATACATCATGTATTATTAAGAACAAAATACGTTGGACGATCCAAACAATGCTAAGTGTTGTTATTGATTACAAATGTAAAAATTGAATTATCATATTTTCAATTAATGTTTGTAAACTGAGGACGAAAAAGAAACATTTATCAATGAAAAAAGTTCTTCTTTTTCTCAATTTATTTAAAAATTCTATTGAATTGATAGGTTTTTCTCCTTCTTATATTTAGAAATGATTATAAATGAGTCTTTAAGATCGAACAAAAAAAAAAAAGAAAAACAATTATCCCGGAAAATTTCATGAGCCATATTAATCATTCCTTTTTGATATTGGTTTTTCCATGACAAGACAAAAAAAAAAAAAAAAGAAAGAAAGACGAAACATAGAGATGAGAATAATAAATGGAATATTTTAACATATATATATACGACATCTCTTTTCTGTTCATATGTCTAAACAAATTTGTTTTTCGGATATGTTTAGAATCTATATAAACCACATAACAATTGACAGTTTCAATTAATAACAATCATAGATAATTAGCAACAAGTTGATAATCAAGATATGAGAAACACAACAAAGTGAACAAGTAGTTGTTTTCTTTATTTTCTTCGCGCCAATTTGAAAAACCATAAGATTATTTTCTTCTGATTCTTTCTTATCACACGTGTTCTCTGTATATTTGTGTGTGTGTGCGTGCAGGTTTTACATTTAATGGATGAAGCAAAAAACTGTTTCATGCAAAAATCTTAATTTGAACAAAAATACAGAAGAATTCACGTCGAATATATTGAATTCTCTAAAAAAAAAAACATTTCTCAAAATACAAAATATAAATAACAACAGCATATAGATTTATCTCATATACAACAAAATATCATGTTGACCCTTAGGATACCCTGGTAGGTTTCTTTTTAAAAAAAAAGAAGAAAAGAAAACTAATCGATCATGGAGACAACAAAATACAGTATATATATATATGTAGATATGTGTGTATTTATGCAATGAAGGGGAAAAAATTTGATTCTAAAATAAAAAATCGAATATTCCTTTTTCTTTTTCTTAAACTATTTTCTCATATGTGCACAGGACGAGTCAGACATTGGACAAACATGTCGGTGATTCTACGGACAGTGATAATGAAGAAAAAGAAGGTAGGATTTGCATGAAATTTATAATAAAAAAAAATTCATAAAAAAAAAATCTATTAGATGGTGAACTTGAAGAGGGTGAAGTTGAAGAAGAATTTGACGAAACTCCTCTCCAACAAAAAGATGGTATGTATTGAACAGAAGTTTTCAAAAGAAAACCTAAACTAAACCATCTGTTGGTTTTTCTTGTCTCTATAGATGCAAAGGAAAATAATCGGGATAATAATAGCACAAATGAATCAAGCATAGAACAAGATAATTCAGTTGAAATAAATAATCATTTAAATATGGGTTCACAAAAATTTCGACGCCGTGATTATCATCATCATCATTTAGGTCAACAACGTATGAATAGCTCAGGAGGACAACAGGATAATAAACGTAATAAACATGAGCAACGAAGAAAACGACGTCACAGCGGTGAAGAACGTGATGATAGAAATCGAAGACAATTTAAAGTATAAAATTTGAATTTATTCGAATTTAACGAAAAAAAAACATGTGATTTGTTTTTGTAGCGCGGAAGATTTCGTGGCGGGCCATTACCAGACTTGATTGAAGATGGTGAAGATGATGACATGATGGGTCCAATATGGCCACCGAGAGGACAAAATCGTGGTCAACGAAAGCAACAGTCTGATATAATATCGAATGAAAATTCTGAATCAATTGAAACAACTGAACAACATTCATCTTTAAATCCAACAAATGAATCTAAAAGTGAACAATCCATAACAAGTGACGAAACATCGTCACCAACAAATGATGCAATTGATGATGAGAATATGAATTCAGATGATAAACAAGATCGTTTAAATCGTTCAAAACAAACACGAACAAATCAACAACAAAATTCTATGAATATTGAAAATCGTGGTAGAAGATATTATGATGGTACAACAAATAATAATACTAATACTAATAATCCAAATAATCGTCGACCAAATGATCGTGATCGTTCATCATGGCAAGATCGAACTGGTAATAATAATAGTGGAAATAATACAAATACAAATAATAATCAAAGGTTTCGATCTGATACTGGTTCATCAACAAATCATGGTCCACCTTTATGTAAATTTTTTGTTGAAAATCGTTGTATGAAAGTAAGTTTTATTTTCAGAAAAAGAAAACAAAAATTGATTTTCGTTTTATAGGGTAATGATTGTTTATTCAGTCATGATTTTAAACCACAGAAAAAAATGGAAGTATGCAAATATTATGTTCAAAATAAAGGTTATTGTCAAAAAAATGATTTATGTCCATATTTACATGGAGATTTTCCATGTAAATTCTTTCATACCGGTACAAAAGATTGTATGCAAGGTGATCGATGTAAATTTTCACATGATCCAATAACAAATGAAGAAATTCGTTTTGCATTTGAACGAGTATATATATTTTTTTTAATTCATTTTTTTATTTTTGATATTTATTTATTTATGTTTTAGTATCTTAATGACTCGGATGAAATGAATCGTCAAAATCGTGTTAATCCAAATCCTAATATTCATCATAATGCGAATCCTTCAACAGTTAGTTTTGATGTCATGAATGCTCCACCCCTACCACCTCCACCACCAGTTCCTGGTTCAATAACTGATCCAACAAGTTTTTCCATGATACCAAACTTAATGGATTTACTTTTACGAAATAGTCCATTACCAACTCCAACATCAATTGATTCAACAAATACATCCAATACAGAAACAACAACTAATGTTTCACAATCAAGTCCACCTGTTCAAAGGTTTGAATATGATTTTTCAATTTCATGAAACATGATCTAAAAGGCTTATTAAAGTATTAAAGATAAAAAATTTGAAAATCCTACAATCGCTAATCACAAGTCACATATCAATAATATCTTATTGTAATATATGAACTAACTTTTTATTGTACTGCTGAAGGATTAAGGAAAAGGATGATACAAAAAAAATGTCCCAAAATAGATAGAATAAAATAATCTCGTTGTGATCAGCAACAACAGTTACCTTACGGCTTATATTTTTAATTCTGTAGAGATTGTGCTAACAGCTTTTCTAATTCTTTTTTTCTTTTCTTTTTAAATTAGACCCAGTCTATATACGGATACACTTTCAACTGATAAAACTGATAATGAAGAATCAATAACAAATAAAATTGTTTCTTCAACGAACAGTACTAGTCCATCATCATCATCATCATCATCAATTCAAAATGCAACATCAACTATTGATAATACACCAACAACAACAGTTACTACTGCCAATACTAGTACTTCTTCTATGACAACAACAACAACAAATTCAACTTGTCCATTACCTTTACCACCATCAGTAATTCCAAGTCCTAATCTAAATTTACAATCACCATTTGGTCGTTTACCACCACCAAATTTAACTCGACCACCATCGTCACTTTTACCACCACCCCCACCTAATTTATTTCCAATGAATACACTTGGTACAGGACGTGTACCAATTTTATTTCCAACAAACAATGGTTTACCATTACCACCACCACCAAGTTCATTACTCGATATGAAATTATTAGGTAAAATAAAAACAAAAAACTTTTCATTGATTTTCAAAAAAATTTTCTGTTATAACTATTTAGCTCAAGCTGCTGCATTAGCCGCAGTTAATGCTGCTGTAGCAACAAAATTTACTACAACACCACATCATCATTCCCAATCATCAAGTCCTCAATTAGGTCGTGATATCGATGAACGTGACCGTCAATCATCAACAATCATGCGTGGAGATATTGATGAACGACCATCTGATGTTTATAATCGTCCAACAACAAATCTTGGTCATTTACAAACATCAGTAACTATTAGTTCTCCCACATCATCATTATCACCAACAATAACAATAAATGATGAACATTTAAAAACTAAAACAATTCAAGATATATTTCGTCCAACAAAATCAACAACTGTTGATCTATTATCAAATTCAACATCAACAAATCCTACAGTTGGACCATCATTTGATTTTATTTCTATGCTTGAACAACTTAAACAACCACGACAAACACAATCAATGTATGTTGGAAAATTTTGTTTTTTTTTTCTTTTAACATTTTCATTTTTTGTAGTGATAATTTTCATGATTCACTTGAAATTCGTAGTTCATCCAGCCAATCATCAGTTTATATTTTACGTCCAGTACTTGTTTCATTTAAACCATATCCATTACCTGATAAATTAACAGATCCACGTATTGGAAAATATCAAGAAAAAATGTCATTATGGTCTGAACAAGCAAGATTAGAACGTTTTAAAACACCATTACCATCATTCAATAATTATTCAGCACCATTACGAACCCAACAACAGCAACTATCATTAACTAATGACAGCAATTCCTCGCGTGATCCACGTTTACTACGAAACAGTGTAACAAGTAGTAAAATAGGTGTTTCAATTCTTCCTACACCTTCACCGTTTGTTCGACCAAACGATAATATTCTATAGCGATATATTTTCTTTTCTTTTTCTTTTCTTTCCTTTTGTTCTATGTAAATGATTCTTCTATCTTTTCTTCTCCCCGAGTGTATAATCAGTGAGAACTGAGATAGACACGACGTTATTGTTGACGCGCATAACAATCTTTATGTGTGTGTGTTTCTTTGTTTGTTTGATTGATTTTTTAAAAAACAGAAACAAAGAAGATTTATTTCTTTTTATTTTGAATAGGTATTTTACATATGGACAAAATTGAAATGAGATTTCGAAGTAAAAGTAAAGTTTTCTTTTGATTTAAGCTAACATCAATTGATAAAATTATTATTAGGATAAAATTAACATAGTGTTTCGATAAAAAGATAAGAGCTTTATGATTCACTATTTGTTTTTATTTAATTCATTAATCATTGCTTCAGACATTTTGAATTTTTGTACTTTTCCTGTTGATGTTACTATAAATTTATCAACAATACGAATATACTTAGGAATTTTGAAAAAAGCTATTTTATCAGAAAGAAATTTTACAATATCTGCAGGTTGACATTTTAATGCATTTGGTTTTAATTTAATCCATGCACATACTTCTTCACCATGCCGTGTATCTGGAATAGAAAAAACTTGTGATTCAGCAACACTTGAATGTTCATTAATTGCATTTTCAATTTCAATTGGATAAATATTAACACCACCACGGATAATCAGCTCTTTTTGACGACCAATATAATAAAGATAACCATCTTCATCCATTCGACCTTCATCACCTGTTCGAAGCCAACCGGATGATGTTATTGCTTCGTTTGTTTTCTGTGGATCACCATAATATCCAATCATAATAGGAAAACCTCGTGCCCATATTTCACCTTGTTGACCAACAGGTACTGCATTTCCTTCTCGATCAACTACTTTTATTTCTAAACGTGGCATACAACGACCTAATGAAGACAGACGACGTGTTTCATTTTCATCACCAGTCCACATACTACTTGTAAGAATCGCAGCATTTTCTGTCATTCCATAAAGTTGTGCAACACGTTTAATAGGAATTTCTTTTTCTAAACGACGTAAAAATTCAATATTCATTGGACTAGCACCTAATCCACAGTAAACTAATGAACTTAAATCATATTTTTTTCTATCTGAATGACCTAATATGTCACGAAAAATAATTGGAGCACCTATCATAGCTGTACATTTTTCTTCATGTATTGCACGCATAGTGGCGACAGGATCAGGCAAAATAGCTGGAAAAACTATTTGACAGTTTGATGTTGCTACACTAAGTACACCGACCACTTCAGAAAAAATATGAAACATTGGAATAGGAGCACAAAGACGAGTAAAATATTGTCCGAGATGCTCAGTTATACCTTTCGACATATTAATCATACCAAAATTTGTTAGTGTTGCTGCTTTTGGATGTCCTGTTGTACCTGATGTATAAAATATTGCAACAGGTGAATCAGGATTAACAGATGCTTGTCGTTCATGTAATTTATTATGAGATATTTTAACACCATGTTCTAATAAATTTTTATATGAATGTATTGGTGATGATGCCGATGATTGTTTACCAGTAAGAATAATATGTTTTAATGTTGGTAATTTTTTTAATGATAATTCCTTTGTTGATGGTTGTTGATCAAGTTCGGGTGCAAGATGACGAAGTATTGATAATGAATCAATTGTTTTGACTGATGGTGGAAGAAGAATACCTTTACATCCAACTTTATTTATGCAATATTCAAGTTCACGTCCAACATAAGCTGGATTTATGTTTACCTATGAAGTGAAAATAGATATGAAGAAACACACAAAAAAGCAATGTAACACTTTACCTTGATAAGACCTAATTTCGATGCAACAAAAGACATAGCAACATTTTCTGATGTATTTGGTAACCAAACAGCAAATCGATCATTTTTTTCAAAACCTAATTCAAGAAGTGAAGCAGCTAAGCTATCAACTTCATCTTTGAATGATTTAAATGTATATCGTTTTTGTTCACCTAAAAATATTCATAAAAATAAATCAAATGTGAAAAAATACAATTCGAATACGAATATACTTTTAAAGACATAACATTCATCATTAGGATATTTATTTGCTGTTTCATCAAAACTTTGACCTAATGTTTTATAAATAAATGGAAGTGATGATGCATGATGATAATAACTTGCAGTTAATTTAGTTGATGACGATGTCGTGGACGAGTTTCGTTTGGTAAATTGAAAAATAGTCCAAGTTGAAGGTGGTCGAACGATAAATCCTTTGATAGGATTTATTAACATATTTAACTCGTTCGACAAGTTGATAAAATGCTTGAAGCATTGTCTTTTTAGTGTACTCAAAAAGTGAGTACACTACTAAAATCGGTCTGTGTGTCCGTCCGTCCGACCGTCCGGCCGTTTACACGATAACTTTCGAAAGGAGAGTCAGATTGCGATGAAATTTTCTACACAGTTTAGTCTTGACAATATCTCGGTCGAGTTCGAANGGTTAAACTGGCCTCAAGTAACGAATTCAGTTAAACTCATTGAATTGCTTAAAAAAACGAGAAATAACGAATGTTTGCTGAACACAATAAAACGAGTTCAAAAAATACGTATAAAAATATGTTTTCTTAAACTAATCTTTGTGCTTGAAACGCGTCACAAACCCTAAAAATGGTTACATGGGTTATCAATGACTGCATAGTTTGTAGGAGTTGACTTATTTTTCTATGTTTACCCAGTTAGACAAGGTTCGCAAAAAAGATGCGTTAAAATTTCGTTAAAACACGGAAAACTTTTTCTCGATTTATGTGTTTCGACACTTTTGAAGCGCAAACATCACGAGTCTTGCCCCGTTCAAGGATAAAACGCGTATTCAAGCACAAAGATTAGTTTAAGAAAACATATTTTTATACGTATTTTTTGAACTCGTTTTATTGTGTTCAGCAAACATTCGTTATTTCTCGTTTTTTTAAGCAATTCAATGAGTTTAACTGAATTCGTTACTTGAGGCCAGTTTAACCGCACAATTTTTAATTGATGTATTTGATGGTAGAGTTTTCTTAAAACTATTAAAGTTCTTGGTTCCTCGTTTTGTCATGAATAAATAACGAAAATTGTGTAAGATTATATTATCAAAAAGTGATAAACAATAAATCTACAACAAATATATGCTAGTGTTTAGTATTGATGAAAGAGAAAAACTAGCTTAACAATAATACAACGAAAGAGCAATTACACATATGAAGCACTTCGTAAATAAAAGTGTTGTATTGACTGAATAGGAACGACTGAAATCCAATGGCCTGTTTTTTTTTGCTATGTTACATCGTTTTTCTATTTATTAAGACATGAATCCGAATATTCCGCATTCACATAAAAAGAAGATTTGTATGAAACAACGTACCAATGACAACTGTCAAGAAAAGAAACGCTATTATTGCATTTGAACACATTACTTTTTATTGCGACGTGTTTAATTAGATTGTTTTTATCTGCGACGCATTTTTTCAACTTAGAGGATCATCTAAAAATACTGTTTAAGCGCATTAATGAGCCGCACGTCATTTATTCACAATAAACGCCATGTGGATTACCGTTCGAACACGTTTTCTTTTATTCTTTGGATTTATTTATTTTTTATGCATTCAAATCCGATTTTAAAGCGTTCTTTTACTGAAAGAAAAACGCTTTTTCAACAAACTGGCCATAATGTATTTTTAAAAAAATACGTTTTCTTATTGAAAAACTAGTCTATTCAGACGCTTAAAAATATTCACATTCTTATGATGAGTAAAAACACCGTTATGTGTGATGAAGTCTGCTACCGTTGAGGTAAATATTTTGAAATATCAGACTGAAAAATAGACTGCCTAAATGGACCGGTTATAGCGATGAATTTTATGAGTCCTGTGTATTGGAATGTATTGTAATCAAGGGGATAAAAGCGAGACTCCATAAGTTGAAGTACAGCTGAAGTACAGTGAAGTCTAGATGAAGTACGCGGAGTACGTACTCACTGCATTCCAACTGGACTCCACTGTACTTCAGCTAGACTCTAGCTGTATTCTATTGTACTTCAGCTGTACTGCAACTTATGGAGTCTAGCTTTTCCCCCCTTGATTTTAATGCTAAGAAAGAAAGAAAGAAATAGTTGCTTAACAAGAAGAGCAAATTTTTAACCTAATTAAAAAAATTCTTGCCTAACGAGAGAACATTTCCAAGTATCAAAGAGGTTTTAAGTCAGGACTTTTCACATTTTGTAGACCTTTATGAATTATGTCTGCCACAAAAACAGTTCGTGTTCATAGCTTATTTTTGATCAGATCGAATGCTCTTACTGTTACAGTCATAAGAGCTATCTTAAATTGGAACGTGCTAAGATTTTCCTTATGCATAGATATACTGATGTGGTAGATAATGTGATAATATGAACACAAAAGGGCTTAGAAAAACAGAGCTACCAGTTTTAGAAAATGTTAGCGTTATTTTAATTGTTTTAGAGAAGAACACCAACTTCGTTGTCGTCTGTATCGTTAAAGTTCAGACTCATCAGATTCAAGATATTTATTGACATCATACTTCGGTATTTCGACTACAATGTGATCAAGTGAAGTTTCACCTTCTACAGAAAACTAATAACAGTTGATAATTGAATTTAATACTTCAGCAAGATGATTGGTAAGTGGTTATTCATGTAGTATTGTATTTGGAAGATTAGAATTTGCAGATGCAAGCGATTGAGAAAACTTCTCTGAGCGAAAGGAAGACATTACCGATGTGTTAATCATCTCCTCCCTTAAACACATGGTTTGAATTCATTTTATTCATCCGCTTCATTTATTCTCATTGGAAATTTTTTATCATTCGTATACGAAAAAGAATAGTTTAGATTTATATTACAATATAAGTACAGTGACATATGTCCGAACAAAAGAAAAATAAACATATTTTTCGTAGCAAACTATAATCATCAAGCATTTCAAAAATGTATTACGACATAAGTAGTCAATTTTCTAAAATTTTCAACCGTATATCTCGTAATTCTAAGAAGTAGCATAGTAATTGACATTTAGAACAACGTTAACATTTTCTACGGCTGATAGATAGCTCACCTTTTCTAAGGTCATTTGTGCTCATGCTGTCACATTATATTTCACATGAGTACAACTATGTATAAGAAATATTTCAGTTCGTTTCAATTTAACATAACTCTTATGTCTGTAACAGTAAAAACGTTCGATCTCTTCAGAAACAAGTTATGGGCATGAACTGTTTTTATGTTAGACATATTTCATTAAAATCTACGAGATGCGAAAAGTCTCGATTCAAAATCGCTCGAACACTTGGGAAATGTTCTCTCGTTATTTACTACAGTCTTGTCATTACTCTTGTAATAATGACTTATTAATTTAGTTTAGCATTGTAAAAATCTCTTGTTTGTTATAGAGGCTCTTGCAGTGAAAAATTAAACTAATCAGTAATTGTTACAAGATGATAACAAAATTGCAATAACTTAGAATTCATGCGCACTATTTTTCAAGCAAACTAATTTGGAAAGAGAAACTGTCTGTACAATTGATCTGTTAATGGGTTAACAACAATAAAAGAAATGATCTACACACAAAATTATTAAACACACACTGAAAAGAATCTAACGAAACCAAATCTTTTTATTTTAAATGTATTATTGTTATATAGTGACATCTAGTCGATAAATAGTTTGATTCGACTATTGGATACCTGTGACAAGAACATGTGAATCATATTCTTTTGCTTGCGGACACTCTCGAAAAAGCTGATTGTCCAAGGGAGAGAGGCCGAAAGAAAAACAGACAATTAGCTGAACACGTTCTATCCGCGATCGCCATTGCTTATTTCTTGTTTATTTATCTTGACAGAGGGATCTCTCTTTTCATTTTTTTTTTTACTCAATTCATATGGATATTTTTTATTTGTATTAAATCCAATGTTGAACAATTATTTTTATTCAAATGGGCAATCAAAGTATAAAAGATTCAAGTACACGTGCATCGCCCAATTTAAAAAGTCGTCGTTCATTATCAAAACCATTTCTTAATTTATCCGGTTCACATACAGAATCTCCATTAATATCAACATCATCACTTGCAACAACACATACTAATGTTGATGATATATCTATTCATAGTCAAGGTAATCTACTCATACATATATATGTATATATATTTTTTGTTTATCAGAATAATAATTTCATATTTCACATTCCAACATGAGAGAAAGAAAGGAATAAGAGAAAAACAAAAATGAATATTTTTCTTTGGATTCATTTTTATTTCGACAGATGTCACGAAAAAAATCTTTTGTTAATAATAAATCAAAATTATTTTCAGGTTCATTTCGTTCAACACCTTGCAATACACTTGCACATATTCAATCTCAACAAAATAATAATGGAAATTTTGATTGTTTAACAGCTGAAAAACGTTGGTTATCTCGTGAATTATTATTAACACAAACTGATACAGCATCAACATCATTCGTTGGAAATAATAATAATAATAATAATAGCATAACATCAACAAATTGTCCATTACATCATCATCGTACAAATGCAACGAATGATGGAATCTATATAGCTTGTCTACCATTTAATGCAAGTGATGATAAACAATTATCATTAGCTGTTGGAGAACATTTAACTATTGTTAATTATCATGATAGAAATCATGATTGGGTTGAAGTACGTAATAGTCAAGGTCAAATTGGTTGGGTGCCACAAGTATTTATTAAACCATTATCATCATTAGATAGACATTCATGGTTTCATGGAAAAGTATCGAGATGTGAAGCTGAGTATTTATTAACACAAGGAATTAATGGAAGTAAGTTATCACTTTTTATATAGAAATATTAAAATATGAAATAACTGAAGTGTGCCAAGATTAATTAGAAGATTTTTGCTAAAGTTGATCAGGTTTTTGCGGGGCGAAGATCATATTATAAAATCAAAAAAAGACTAATTGATAAAGTAAAGTTGAATAGTGATTGTTGTAAAGAGTATGAATGACCATTGACATGTAAATTCGAGCATTTGTATTTTGATTTTAGATATTTTAAAAAAATTTGAATAAAAGATAATTTCTTAGTATTATATACTGATCCATTAAATTTCTACTAGACTCAGTTTTTGAATGGTTTACAAGAGTAGCAAGTGAATATAAATTCGTCTTTATTAATTCTTTTATTAAGGACTAACGAAGGAACGTTTCTAAGTACTGAATCACTTTTAAGTTAGGACTGTGTGCATCCTATAGATTCTAATAATTTTTTGCAGATTATAACTTTTGCAATCTTCTCGCTTTCTTCGGTCATAGAATATTCTCTATTTTTCTCACGCTTTTAGTATCACAGCATCATTATATTATATTGCTGTAACTATATATCAAATGGAAAAGAAAGAGTTTAGATCGATGAGAATTTACAAACTCTCTCGTTTTATCTAAATCATTTTTAAAGCCTTATAAAACTCAAAAGAAATCTGTGAAATTACATAGAATCCTAGAAAGTTACGATTACTGTTGAAGCTCTAATTTTACAGAAGACCCAACGTTCAATTTCATTAGATCTTCATTAAATTTTGAAATCATAGGGCTATACTTGGAGTCATGTGAAGCATTCTACAAAGTTTTTAGTAATCCTACTCGGTTCTGGCAGTAGAAAATTTTATGATGTTGACTGGTGCTTCAAGCTTCTACGAGCAAACTGACATTTTTTTGTCATCTTTCTAAATTCTATAGCTGTTATCAGAGGTCCAACCAGGCCGCATTTTTGCAGGCCTGGCCGGCCTATGACAGGCCTCTGAATTCCAAGCCTGCCTGTGCCTGCTAACTTATTTGTTTGGCCTGGCCTGCCTGCCTGGCATTTTCTTCGGCCTACCTGGCCTGCCTGGAAAGGCCTGTCTATTTTTCTTTTATGCCAATACCATTACCAGGGGTGTCGCAAGCAACCAAAACTTGGGGACGGGGGTAGTAACTTATAAAATCCTATTTCCAAAAATGTTGGGTGAGTAGCTAGTGTTGCCAGGTCTTCCGGATTTGAAAGTTTTTTCGAGATTTTTGTGGGATTCTTTCTGGATTTTCAGAATTTTTTCTAAATTTTTTGGATTTTTTGACGATTGTGCGCTTTTTCAGGATTTTTTCAAGTATTTCTCTGGATTTGTCGGAATTTTTTCGAAATTTTTGGGTTTTTCAAGGATTTATCAAGACTTTTTTGGGATTTCTTCTAGGTTTTTCTGGATTTTTTGAGATTTTTGCAGGATTCTTTCGAGATTTTTCTGAGTTTTACAGGATTTTGAGATTTAAATTCTGGATTCACGAGTTTGACATCTGACAACACTGAGGTTAACTTATACAATCGTGCTTTACATAGGATAAGTTTCATTTTGTGAAATACAATGCAAGACAATTTTTCGAATATTGTGAGGATGGGTGTCACGCGCACGCCTTGACCATCACGATGATAGAATAGAAACATATAGTTTGTTTTACTTTTGAACGAGGTGAAGGATCATCAATAGAGACGGAAGATGAAAGATCAATATCACCCATTTCACGAAGAAAGACAATTGAAATGCTAACACATAAGTTTAACAAAAACAATAAAGACTTTTACAGTCAATAATAAATATCTCAACAATAATCGATAAGAAAGATTTTAACAACAATCAATAATAAAAAAATATAGAGAAATGAGAACATGAAGAGTGAATAGATAAAGAAGAGGAACTCTACGATTTGAATTGAACATTAGTCATCCCCTCGATCAATCACCATGAAAGCAGAACATTATTCTATACTTCTCCCGATCGCTAGCATTACCCTCAATTTGTTTAAAAAAATGTATATTGAAAAAAAGCTATATTTATAAAGAATATAGACAGGCCAGGCGGCCTGATGTTTTAAGCGGCCTGCCTGGCCTGGCTGAAGTGTCGGCCTGGCCTGCCTGTCATAGGCCAGGCCTAAAAAACGTGGCCTGTGCCTGTGACAGGCAGGCAGGCCCAGGCAGGCAGGCAGGCCTAGTGGCCTGGTTGGACCTCTGGCTGTTATCATCAAGAAAAGAACAAACATTTTAATTACTTACTTACAATTTTTATTTAAGGTTTTCTTGTACGTGACAGTGAAACTGTTCCAGGTCAATTATCTATTAGTCTTCGATATGACGGTCGCATATATCATTATCGTATAAATACAGATGAAAATGGTCAATATTATGTTTCAACGGAATTACGTTTTTCAACATTACAACAATTAATTCATCATCATTCAATAACAACTGATGGTCTTGTTCATCTATTACTTTACCCAATAAATAAACATAAAATTCAACCAGCATTGTTTAAAATAGATGATAAATGGGAAATTCAACGATCAGAAATAGCTATGAAACAAAAATTAGGTGGTGGACAATATGGTGAAGTTTATGAAGCATTATGGAAACGTTACAATAAAGTTGTTGCTGTTAAAACATTAAAAGAAACAATGAGTTTACAAGATTTCTTAGAAGAAGCTGATGTTATGAAAGATTTAAAACATCCAAATCTTGTACAATTACTTGGTATATGTACACTTGAACCACCTTATTATATTATTACTGAATTCATGACACATGGATGTTTACTAGATTATTTAAAACGACGACCACGTACTGAATTAACATCAACTGTATTGATGTATATGGCTGGACAAGTTGCTTCAGCTATGACTTATTTAGAAGCAAAAAATTTTATTCATAGAGATTTAGCTGCACGAAATTGTCTGGTTGGAGATAATCATGTTGTTAAAGTTGGTGATTTTGGTTTAGCTCGTCTTGTTAAATGTGAAGATCATTATACAGCTAAACATGGTGCTAAATTTCCAATTAAATGGACAGGTAAGAGGACAAAAAAGAAACATAAGTTTTTTAAATTTTCGTTTCATTTTTTTCAAGCACCTGAAGGGTTAGAACGAAATCAATTTTCAACAAAATCTGATGTATGGAGGTAAGTTATGAAATGAAATAATATTCTATTCATTTTCGTTTCGGATCGAGAGTTTAAGCTGCCTGCTAACGAAGGCATCAATTAGCTATAGAAAGGTTCAAAGGAAAAATATCGAAAAATTTGCTCTGTCTTCACGGTGGGTGTGTGTCGGTGAAGAGAAGACTAGAATCCACATACTCTACAGCATACGAGGGAACCTTTTCAGATGTCCGCTTCCGATTTCGATGTTATTTTTTGCCTATAGATGCTACACAGTGTACTAATAATAGTCCTAAAAGGGTTTGGGCTTCTATTAATATTTAACTAAGCTATCGAATTTTTTTGTAGAAGCCCCATATTTTCGGATATTGATCTGAAACTTTGTTTATATAGAGAACTCAGTTTGGCTAACTTCCGTAAAAGAATTCAGGAGCTTTGAACAAAGTCTCCTTAACATATGAAGCTTTCAAAAAATGCATTTTATATACATTATCCATGGAAGACAAGAGGATCTACATCTTGCAAGTTTCATATCACGAAGAGCCTTTATTCAAAACTTCAGAATTGTTTTAATGAAAGTTAGTCTAGTTGAGTTCTTTATATGCGCAAAAGTTTCAGATCGAAATTCGAAAATACGATTCTTTTGAAAATTGAGGCATCTAGAAAAAGACTTGATAGTTTAGTCAAATCTAAATAGAAACTCAAATCCTTTTATAGGTTTTTATTAGAACACTATGTTGTATTTATAGACAAAAAATTATCGAAATCAGTAGAGAACATCTTAGAAGGTTTCGCTGTAAGCAGATTCCTCCACCACTTCTAGAATCGCATAGGCCAATGGAACTTTTTACATAGATGCGTGATGTAAAGACACCACATATTGTACTCTACGATATATATTTTAGCTTTTCAATTCTTCTCTGGGAAATTGCCACATATGGTGCTAGTCCATATCCAAAAATAGAACTTTGTCAAGTATTTGATCATCTTCGAGTAAGTACAATGAACAAGAAAAGCAAATTATATGAATAAAATAATTATTGTTTACTCTAAAAGGCTGGAAGTCGAATGGAACGTCCACCTGGTTGTCCAACTGATGTATATAATCTAATGCAAAAATGTATATAATTTTAAATAAAACATTCTTGAAAGCATTCATTTTCTAAATTTTTGTTTTAGGCTGGCGTTGGAATCCTGATGAAAGACCGACATTTAAAGAAATACATGCTGAACTTGAAAGTATGACCACAGTTGGATTTAATACTCAAGAAAATGGTATTTAATTATATTACATTATTAAAAGAAAATCATTCAAAAGAAATATTTTCATTTAAGGTACAACAAAAGTTTTATCTCCAAATGAATTTTGTTCAAATTCAAATCGTGCTCGAACTGGTCCATCACTTCCACCTCCTCGGCCACCAGCTCGAACATGTTCATTTTCTAGTGTTACATCTCCACCACCACCTCCACCTGCAACAGCTCATCAATCAATTCTAGCACGTTTTCTTCCATCACCACGTCCAAAATTATCAACTGATCAACAACAACCATCTACTATTACCGAAGATCCAAATGAACAAACATTACCAACAATTATTCAACAACAACAACCATTACGCGATCGACCACGAAATCTTAATCCCGAAGCACGTTTATCAACATTTAGTAAAAAACAAACACCATTACCAATAACAACAGCACTCCCTAATTCATTCTCAACAACAACATTTGTTGGGCATACTCATTCAACAACAACGACAACAACAAATGGTATTGAACCATTAAATAATGTTGTTTGTGATAGTGTTCAACGACCAACACCACCATTAAAACCAAATCGAGATGGATCAATAAAAATGAAATCAAATAAAAAATCTTCGAAGTAATTAAATTTTTATCTCTTTTTGCCTTCAAGAGTATCCCTCCATCTCCCATTTTGGAAGCTTCTAGAGAACGGCTCATCAAAAAAGTTCCTGAATGCTGCCTTCTATGAGATATTGGGCTCACAAACGATCAAAATGACTTCCTTTCTTCGAAATACTACGTTCGATTAAGTTCAAAATTTTTTTTCATGTACTGAATATTAGGTCAGCGGGGGGGGGGGGGGGGGGGCTTTTTTTCTGTCGTTGTGTCCTTTCGTTCGTTGTATGAAGGCAAGCGCCGAAGTAGTGCCGGCGTGAGCAGGCACCAGAGCACGCGCACCGCAC